TAAGGAAATGTGGTATGATTGCCAATGAGACAACTATCCACTCAAGTTCAAATGGAGTGGATGTAAGCAATTATAGGCAACCGTACGGCCTTCAACAATGAGAAAAACCCGTACCGTATAGTTGGCTATAAGAGTGAAAAATATGAAACAATTCAATTGAAAAAATTAACAGCCTAATTTATAACAAAACAATTAACGAAAAGCAATTATGACAGACATGAACCAACGACAACCACAAGAATGAATTTGATAAAACATTGCCGGAATGGCTTTGAGTGGGATCCCGTCTGTGGGATGGTGTTGAAGCTGGGGAAACTAGCTTTTGTATCTGTTGTCAGATGTTGTTGTTCTACAAGATACGAACGTGTTACATCAGGTTAGATGTTTCGGTACCAATATATGAGATATTGGGATTTGGTTAATGGATTGTAATCTAGATCACAGTTCATTCACATCTTAGTCGGCAGTCCAATTCAATAAACATAAACAAATTGGTAAAGTCCAAATATAAAATATCAGTGTTACAAATTAGTTATTTTAAACCAAAAACAATATATATGATTGCGTTGGAAAATCCGAACGCAGTTCATGTGCTCACGTTGGTATATCCAAACGGAGTCCCTTAATAAAAAAATATCTTTCTTTAAATACCAAATAGCGTTGCTATAACAACATAGTGTGTTGGGGTCATGTTGTAAAAATATTCGTAAATTATTATAGATTGTTCGTTTTAACCAAAATAAAGTAAAATTTATTTCCTCACAATTACCCTCTTCTTAAAACATTGCTTTGTCCTCAAAGCAAACAAACACAATTCTGTAATAAAATGCATGAACACAACAATAAATATATACATGAGTTATTGTTCACATATTTAAAGGTCCGCACTGGTTTGAAGTCACTTCTGAAATTATTATTAAATGTCCGCACATAAGATTATCTGGAATCCGATAATGAAACATCATAAATTGTTATGTAATATCCACTGGGCAGAGATAACGGTATTTAAACACGGGCTATCAATATAAAACTAGTAGATATTAGAAATATATACACAAAGTAATTAAACAAACACAAATATATACATATATATGAATAGATACTGTCTATCTTTAGACGTCATGCCTTGCTTGATTGCCTATAAATAAGGTTCTAAATTTGGGTATAGATTGTTTTTTTGGAATTCATGATAATGCGTGGTTTTGGGAATTAGAGGTTCTTGATTTTCCTGCAAAGATGTAGCTAATCCTTGATGTACAATCAATATATATGCAGTTGTCGTCTGTTTATGTAGTTCATACGTGTTTCTCGTTTCTCGTTTTTATATAGATTAGACCGTTGGTTTTTCCGTTTGAACGGTTTTACACTAGTAATGTTTTGGGGCCCTTTATAGCTTGCTGTTCGGTGTGAGCCAATGCTCCGTGTTGAAGGCTGTACCTTGACCTATAATGGTTTACTTTTAAAAATTGTAACTTGGATGGAGAGTTGTCTCATTGGCACTCATACCACATCTTCCTATATCTATATACAATATGGTTGGTTGATTATTCGTCTTACTTTGAAATAATTAAACAAACCAACTTTGAAACATGTTTTAACTGTTAAGCTTTGTTTTGTCAATTTATTTATAACTTTGAATCCTGGCCACTCAACTGAGAGTTTTCCAAACGGGAAATTATTAATTTGAACGTTCTGAATAATGACCGGGGGTTGAATATCCCAATAAGATAGACACAATGGAAATGATGTAACTGGAATTGCAGCACATGAACCATCTGAAGTTATTTCTAACATTGTGTTATGAGATTTATGTTTGAATAAGCAAACTAAAACAAAAATAAAAAGTATTAAAATCAAAACTCCTACTATTAAAGATCCATGTATCCAAGTAAATTCTTTTAAAATAGCTGAGTCTTAAAATGGTTTTGTAGTAGTTTGTGTGACTGTTTCAAAAAGAAATGATGGTACTGTTGACTTTGAATGTACATTATAAACTTGTTGTAAAATCAAAAGTGAAGTTCTTAAAGATCTGAATTGTAAAAACATTTAAACAAAGCCTAGAAAAGAAATTCCTCCTACATGTATAGTTATTGAAGCTATTCCTAGATAACCGTTAGTGTCTGGCCAATTCGAATCAAGTGTAATTTGACCATCAAGTAGAGGTTCTGCTATATTTTGGAAAATAATCTCATCTTTCTTAGCTGATTTAGCAATCTTCTTTTAATCTAAGTGGTCTTTGATATCTGAAGCTAAAATTGAATTTAATTTATGATTGTAAAATTTAAAATTTGGAATTGATATATTTACTGCAGTTTTGAAATATGTATTGCCAAAATAAGATTTTACCTTGTCAAAACCAAAAAATGCACGTAATAATGCTAAGTTTATTGGATACAATCTTGTACTTTCTTGTAACTTTTCCTGACAATTTACCAAACGAGGATGATATGTTATTGTGGAGGTTTGTAGAGTACAACTACAAGGAATATTTTGAATGCAAAATTAACATCCTGGCACTGTTGGTGTTTTATTAGGGCATTTCAAAGTTACCTCTTTAGCATTTGTCAATAAAATTGATGCTGGTAATAATTCAAAAATAATTGGTTTTGTCAATTCTGGTAACACTCTGAAATTACATTGGTAAAAAATAAGACCTTAAGATTTAGGATGTGCTATTCCTTTAGAAATAAGTTTTCTACAGGTACAGCCAAACTTACCAACCAAATATTTGTATCTATGGAAGAATTTTGTAAAGGTTTTAAGTAATTTGTGGTAACGAAATCCCTGACTGAATAATTTACTAGTAATACACAGATTACGCTCATTGAAATCCAAAACGCCACTACAGACACGGGCATAGCGAACGAGTTGGAATATATAAACACCATAAGACGGTGTCAAAGGACAACACCGTCCAAAAAAGGAAAATTAACAATAAGGACAGAAAAATCATCCCTCTTGTCGTAAATTTTAGTGCAGAGTTTCTGATGTAATACTGAATTTATCTAAATCTAGGAACGGACAGTTATTGCTGTTAATATTAGATTTATTTAAAGTAAGTTCCTTTGGGTAAATTCCAGCAGTTTATTTAGAGAATTCTTGATTATTTAACGAAAAGATATAAACCGTGATTCCTAACAATATAGGAACAAGTCTGCTATTAAAGGGGCACAATTTGTGCCCATAGGAATACATACAAACTGTCGATAAACTTTATTGCCGAAACGTACATAAATATTGTCAAGTTGAAAATTTAGGGCTTGAATAATCTCATCACACCCCCAGTAAGTGTATCTAGCATATATAAGTATATATATGCCTATTTTTCAATCTATCAAGGATCTTGTCCTGAAAGGTAAAATTGAAAACCGTCAAAATCGAAATTTACATCCATTTTGTCATCAGTAACATAAAACTATATAAAAATTTGAAAAACAGAACTGGTTGAATGGTTCATAAGTTATTACACATAAACAACATATACTATACCGTTTCCCACTCTATAAAGGATCATAACTGCTGAACGACAAAATGAAAATCTTAAATACCTCAAACTTGACTTGTTGCTTAGTTTTCTAGGTTGTGTTTTGTAAACATTTTTTTGTCTGTTTATCGTTTTTCGCTTTTGCCACAGTGTTTTCAATTTGTTTTCGATTTTGGAGTTTGAATATACATTGGTTACCAAACGCTTACTTTGTAAAAAATCACTCTGATTAAAAAAAGCCCCTGAAACTGCTCCTCTTCTTGTCGACTTGTTCCTTATTTCATATGATTAATAAAGTTTCCATGCAATAACTTAAAACGCTCAAATATGCTTTAAAATTTAAGAATGTAAAAATTTTAAAAATGTAAAAATATTGTTTGTTTAAAAGAAATTTTACTGCTTCTTATCATGCTTCCTTATATGTTTGTTTTCGATTTGGGAGTTTGATTATTCAAAGGTATCTTCCTCCTCCCTTTTTGAAATTTTAAAGCATTATTTAAGCGTTTAAAGTTATTGCATGGAAACTATATAAATTGTCATTTTCAAATGAATCGAGAACCATATATAACTCCAGACGGTAAAAGTAAAAATCTTCACTATCAATCATGGCCTCTATTTTATCATCAGTAACAACTCATCCAATTTTTTTTAAAGCATTAGTTGAACGGTTCATAAGTTATTACACGGAAACATTTATTTGTTATGTTTTATAGCTTACTATACACGGTTTAAGTTTTGATGGAGACCGCGTGTTGACCAATAGTTGCTGGCATCTGGGTCATTTGGTCTCATTGGCAATCATACCACATCTTCTAAAATGAATGCATACTTTGAGGTTCTAACAACATTATGGCAGATTATTTTAAAACATACATATAACAATATTATAAACACGTAAAGGTAGCCACAAACACTTTGACAGACTTTTGGAATTTCGAGTTTTCATTCAAGAATGTTTAAGAAGGACATTATTGGAAATTAAGCTATTTATTGTTTCACTAATACACATCAATTAATTTTGGTTAGAGACGTCCTTTGATGCAAAATTTTACAAACACATGTTACATTTGTAATTTTGTATCAAAATGCTTTCGACAACAATATGTAGCCCACATTTTGATTTTGAAGGAAATATGTATACTGATGGATTTATTTTTGAAAATCCAAGAGGATTGGAATTATTTATGATTTTAACACTGTGATTAAAAAATATGCAGGGGTGAGTTGGTCCTATCTCTTGTATCATGTAGTAGACCATCAATGGATTCATAATACAATACACCAGTAGTAACCATTTAGGTAAACAAAGGTCTGAAGTCCATAAAACAGCTAGTAAATTCAGAGAACACAAGAAATACAGAGGAATCAAAGATTGTATGTCTACAATTTACTATAAGGAATATATCTTCAGACTCACTTTCATATCTAAGATATATGTAACGTATTCGTTTGAACAGACAACGCAATGATTATTACTTAAATTTCTTTACACATCATTTTATTTCTGATTTAAAAGGATAAACATCAAAATGAGTGTGTCAGGACCTGATATTGGTTTCACAGACTTTACAGATCTCGGTAAGGGTTACAGAGGATATGCCCATCAACTAACGTCATTATTTAACGAATGTGATTTTGGCATAATGGACACACATCGTCATACTATTGGCTTCAAAGAAGCATCTAGAAGACTTAGGAAGCAAATGATGGAGTCTTTTGAATATATAGAAATTCAAACAGGTAGATTGGTAAAAGAATTTAATATTGGTAAAACACATGTTTACTCTCAGTATACAATTGATTTCAATCCAACACAGCCGTCAACTTGGGCCACCTATGGAGGTTTACCTGTTAGTTGGGAAAATTATAAAAAGAAAAGATTTGACGGAATGATTGCGTTAAGTTGTGTAATAAAGGATATTATTCCCCAAGTTATTCGCGACACCAACAAAGCCTTAGAAATGAATCATCATAGCTATGCAGCTGGATTAGCACAGTCCTTGGTACAGTATTACCTTCTACAAAATCCTGATGATAGGTTACGCAGTGTAACTGTTGAGGATCTGGGAAACAAGACTGGGAAAGATGAACTTGGTTCCCCAGCTAGTGTAATATATGTAGCGTATAAACTAGAACCTAAGACGACCAATTCGGTAAGTCAAAATTTGACGTTTTAGCTTTATGCATTTTTTTTCATAGCTGTCATTCAGTTATCAAATTTATCTATGATGAATTTATTATGTAGTTATAATTTTGATAATGTTGGGATTTATTGTATATGGTGGTAGCTTTTTGGCCTAAGGAGAAGCGATTATATTTTCTTAGAATTGAAGTGTCAGTTAAATAGTATTACACAATGCATTATTTCAAAAATGTTACGATAATTAATTTATGCATTCATGCCATATTTAAAATTATATCAGAGAACATTATTTTTCCAAATTAACAATTTACATTTATTACTTAATATATTCACTAGCAACTTTTAGTAGATACTCTTTGACACATTTCCCGTTTCCATTCTCTATACTATCAGAAAAAATAAAGGTTGGCATTGGCTAAAGACATCCTGAGTCACATAGTCCTGACTGGGACAATATTTGAGTATGATTTTAATCTTCCACAGAAGACGAAGGAAATCAGTATAGTTCCATATGCTCAAAACTCTTTGAAAAAATGGAGCTCTAATCGTGCACAAAAGTAAACTAACAGGGAAACAACATAAAACACCACTGTCATGTGACAAATATCTCATAGAATTTTGAAGACATTGGATGACTTGATTATTCATGATAATCAGATGTTCAGGATCTATTATTACAAACCAAAACACGCTGGACCACCAAATGAACACAAACTGAATAGGGACTGGACAAAAACAACAACAATACTTTATTCTCTAATTAACTGTTGACACAGAGATATGTTTCGCCTGTCCGCATAAAATTCAGAAAAAAGACAATCTGGTGGACAGGAACATTGCTCATAAATTCAAAGTCGCTGGACCATGATCTTGTGGGCAGGGCCTAGAAATGGTCGACAAACTGAGATGTACTAATAGTAATGCAACCTCATACAAAATATTATTGATCTGTCATAAGCAGTTCTGATCAAACTGACTTAAGCAGAAAACTTAACATTGAAAATTGCTAATTGATTTTAAGTCACTGGACCATGACCTATGGGGCAAGGCCTCTAAATAGTCATCAGACATATTGTACTGATAGTAATGCAACTTCATACAAAATATCATTGATCTATCACAAGTAGATCATATCAAACTAACTCAATCAGAAAACTTAACATTGAAAATTGCTTATTAATTCAAAGTCACTGGACCATGTCCTAGGGGCCAGGGCCTCAAAATAGTCGTCAAACAAATATGTACTGATAGTTATGCAACTACATACAAAATATAATTGATCTATCACAAGTAGATCCTATCAAACTAACTTAAGCAGAAAACTTAACATTGAAAATTGCTGGTTAATTCAAAGATGCTGGACAATGACCTAGGGGGCATGGCCTCGGAATAGTCGTCAAACTGATATGTACTGATAGTAATGCAACTTTATATTAAATATCAATGATCTATCACAAGTAGCTCTTATCAAACTAACTTAAGCAGAAAACGTAACAATTGTTGATGCCACCGCCGTCGCCGTCGCCGGAAAAGCAATCCATATGTCTCGCTTTCCGCGACTTTCATCGCAGGCGAGACAAAAACCAATACAATCAAAGGTCAGATAATACATAGTATGGTAGAGGTGAGTTAACCTTGGTGTAGTATGAGATACAAAATGAAGAAAAAAAAACAACAAGGTAATGTGGTCTAGCCACAAGAACCATCTAAAGAAGCTGTATACTTGAAAGGCAAACCATATTTGATCATGGTTTTTTTTGCAGAGTTTTTCAAAATGTTTTTCCCTGGTGGTCCTTGAAGAAAATCTGCTGGTCCTCACTATAATTTCTATTACAAAAATGCAAAAATTGTGTTGGTCCTTTGCAAAATGTCGTGGTCAAAACCTTCGGACCACCACTTTTCAAGAACTCTGTTTTGGTCAGCAGTATTATTTATCAAATGACATTATGTGTTCAGACTAGCCAGAAAATTCTTGCTTAAAAGACTTTCTAAAAATTTTTAAACATATGAAATAAAACCTACAGTAGTACTGTAAACGTATAGCATTTGGCTGCGTATAGTATGTAATCCTGCCTGAGATAATAAACTCATGATTATGTACTTGCTCCACGTCAAGAATCTCGGAAGTGGTTGTCTTTATTTTTTTTAAATTGTTGGTATACTAGTGTTGGAAATTTGGTGTTGATCCCGGAACTTTAATAGACTCTGTTAAATTTAACCAGACTCGGGTTGATAATACAAGTCTGGAGCTAGGGAATTTGTATCGCTGGAAATTCATGACACATACTTTTGTCCATTGTTCAATACCGTCTGATAACCTCGAGGTTTCAATCTTATACCACCAAATCCCCTTTTTTTAAACAAATAAACATCCGATAGGATGTAACAAGTGAAGAAAATATATCCATTTATTCTTGTATGTTACTATGATACTTTTTTGCGATTAGATTACTACATAAAATAGCAATTGTAATTATGAAAAATAAACGATAAATTTATGCATAAATTGTATATTTAGTTTCAGGAGTTACAAATTAAAGATGAACCTGATGGTAAGGTTTTTAAAAGTTGCAAACAGTCAATATATATACTTTAAAATTTCAATGTTACGCATATGTTGGCTCTTTTCAGTTTTCCCTCCAATGTACATTAGAATCAATCAAGTTTGCGGTAAACACCTTGAGTATATAAATTCAGTTGCAATAACAAATCAAAATTTCCAAACATGTAAATTAACAATGACATTTTTAAATTTATTCGGTGATTTTGATTTTTTGTACATTTTTCATTTTGGTGTCCTTTTTCATTGAATATTGAATTCCCCATATCTCTTGAAGTTAACAACAAATAATAATTCATTTTTTTTATATACAGATGCAGTTCTCGGTACTATACTACTTATTTTATTGGAGCCAAACCTATAAATTTCATAAAGATTATCGCGATTGCCTCTTGCATGCTCTGACTTTGATCGATTTCAATAAAACCTGTACCCTTTTATATCATCCTATTGGAGGAAAAATATCTTGTATAATCATGCGGTTAGATTGGTTACCTTGATAGGGTATATGAGACTATATTCCTTGTGAAAAAAACGAAAAAAAAAATCATAGTGATATTAGCATGTTAAAATCAGGGTACACTTGTATGATATAATTGTTTTTTGGGCTTTACATGGTATATGAGCTCATATTCCCTGACAATGCCCTATATCATATTCAGTTGACGACTCAGGGGATATGAAAACTGGCAGGGAATATGAGCTCCTATATTACCTCCTATACATTTCTAAGAATATGATTGGTTAAAAGCAACCGCTTTCATATGGGGTTAGTAGGCGTGGTTTATTTCAATACACGGTTAGTAGTGGTGTTACGTCCCTTTGTAAAAACAACACGGTGTTGAGGAAAAAATCTGAAAGGTTTCAACAGACGAAGAAATTGATGATGAACGATTGAAATAAATTCATAAAACACATTAAAAGCTTACAAGTTGTTATTGTTTGCATTTGTTTTTATATAGACCAATGTAAGTAGGTTGTTAATATTAAAGACTTGATCACTTTGCAAGGCCACTAGTCTAAATACCACATGTTAAGATAGTCGGTAAGATAAATTCGTTACACGGTGTTCTAGTGACCTAATACGATATGTATGGGGTCAGTAAATTCCTTATGGGGAGTCGAGCTTCGCTCTCACCCCATATGGAATTTACTGACCCCCAAATATATCGTATAAGGTCACTAGCACACTATGTAACTAATAATATCCCCTGTGAAGATCCCTGACGGTTCAGGGTATATAAAACACTGACCGACAGAGAACATGCACCCATATAATCTGTGAAGATCCCTTATGGTTCAATGGATACCAAATACTGACTGATAGGAAATATGAGCCCATGTCTCCTGTGGAATCCAGAAAAAACAAAAATTATGTTTTTGCACAAGAACCAAAATAATCTGCTGGAATTATGGAACTATTTAACAAGTAAACAAAGTCGGCTTTTAAAATCCTGTTGTTTTGCTCTTCTGGAAATGTTTTTGTAATATATAAGGACCTACAATTTACCTATATTGAGAAATAGTTTTTTGTCTTTGATTTGCTATCTCATTGGCGTATAATCCTTCGTCTCCTTTTTCGTACATCGTGATTAAAGCACTATCAATACGTTAAATACATTTGTATTTGTTAAACTTTGTCATTCACAACCCAAATTAAAGAACATGTAACACACATTGAAGAAATAAAGTAATATTCGATTGTTTGTTGATTGTTGTATTCAAAGATTATATATAAGATAGCATGTATTTGGTATGAAAAATTGTAAATTACTAGCTAGTCCGTAGCGTTATTCAAACACGGTTACAAGTGTTCAGCAATTTTTGAAACGAAGAATTATACTCCGACACGAATTTGAAGATGAAAGTTTTTTGGCTGGAACTCCGAATCATGTTTAAATGTACACACCAACAATCACAACTACAAAACACACTAAGGATAAAAAAAAATAATAATAATAATTAAAAACAAATTGTTCAGAGAACAATTGAAGATCTTTCCACCCGATACGATATATTTTGATATGAAAATGTTAAAATCCGGTTTTAAATGTCATTTCCAGTGTCAGATGATAGCTTACTGTACGCTGATTCGGAAAATATATGGTTTCTATACACTTTTGTTTGTAATAAAGGAATTCATTTGTTACTTCCGGTTTGAAAAATGTCCCTTCCGGTGTTATATAAAAGGTTACTTCAATTCAACACGAGTCCTGTCCTTGGATCTGATGACTGATTCCAAAAAAATATGGTTCTATACACTTTTACGTTAAATAAGTACAAAAAATAGCTACTTCCGGTTGGCTTTTTCAAGGTCATTTGGCTTGCAACCTTATGCCAAAAAAGTCCCATAGCTTTATCATGTATAAATATGAAGTTATTTCTTGTTCAAGCAAAGGTCAAAATTTAGAACGTCAAATGTACCTATGACCTTGACCCCAATTTCAAGGTCATCAAGTAAGGACCTCATATCAAAACACCTTAGGTCTCTACTATATTTTGTTAGTAAGTTACATTACCATACATCTTATTTTTAACATTCCAGAGTAGAAAACTCCTAGTAAATGTTACCGAACCGTTTTGAAGAAAAATTTCCTGTTACGACTGATCACAAATAACGTTTTAGTGAAAATCTTTTGTCGATAAATATTACAGTTTCTTAGGAGTTGCATGCACAAACAAAAGCAAAAACTAAAACATGACCTTGAACTTTGACCTTGACTTTATTTTCTTTTTTATGGACCCAGGACCTAAAATCAAAAGATCATAGGTCTCTATCAATTATGGTTTATGAGTTTCTGTTACATTTCACTTATGTCGAAAACATAAAGGGAAATAACTCTCATTTGGAATCTTCAGATCTCTTCGATCAAAAGTATTCTCAACAACCTGAGGATATAACGAGCAGTTTGGTTAAATAATTTTGTCTTAATCTTTTACAGTTGCGAAGGAGTAGCAAACACAAGAAAAACAGTGTTCGGGGAGATAACTCTTACAAAGAAAAGTGTTGGTTTAAGCGGTGTCAGTTTTAAAAGCGTATAAACTGTTCGATATCATATATCAAATATCTAAGCGACATCTTGCGAAACACCACAACAGTGCAAGAAAAACATTTGGCCGAAGAAAAAGAAATAATCAGAACAAAAGCAAAAGGTCTTTCAACGGAAAAGTGGAAAGACCTAATAATCAGAACAAAACCAATAGGTCTTTCCACGGAAAAGTGGAAGGAACTTTTAATAGTGATAATAATAATAATAATGAATTCTTTATTTAAAGAGGGTTACTCAATTAGAACGAGTCTAATTTCCACTGAGGCCCTCAAACAAAATACATTTATACAGGTAACATTCATACACTATTAATGGCTAATATGTTTTTTTGTGTATGCACTTCCTGTTTTGTATGTAATCGAATAATTGCTAAGTGTTGGAAAACGTCTTTGCAAAAAATAAAAAATGATTTCATGTCTTAATATCCCCTTAGTATCTCCATATATTCGAATCATTTTGACAGTTTTAATGCACAGGTGCTGTGTAAATCTATGTTTTAGACCAAGTTCTTCGTTCAAAGGAGTAGGGTGTGTAATAACATTAACGGCACCAATTTGTATTGCACCAGATGCAGATGCGCATTTCAACAATAAATGTCTCTCCAGAGGTGAAAGAGGCAAAACGCCTGAAAGTCGAAAACCTATTTCAAACAACAAAGAACTGATGAAACTAAAAAAGACCAAAAGTAAATCCAAACCCGGATAAGGAATCAGAGTTATATATGCATGAGAAAGATACATTCCATGATTTATAATTTCGAAATTTTAAAACTGCATATTTCAGTAGAAAAATATCAGTATTTTCACGACAGTGCCGAATTACTGACCACTGGATTCATGGTACACCAACAGTACCAGTTTTATTGCACCATTCATGCACAAAACATGCACAATATTCATTATATTGGAAATCCTTTGCGCAGCTATCATTGGTAACGCTTTTAGATAATACTGTATGTATTGACAAACTATTAAATCACTGCATAGATACACACTTGTGCAACTATTAACACGCTTAGCCACCTTTTCACATGGTGAATGACTTAAAATGATGTTGAATCGTGGTAAATAGTTACTTCATCTTAATATATTTACCATTTTAAAAAGCAGCAGCTATTTACACAACAAATCGTTGAAGTAGAAATCCTATCCTATTAAGTCATGTACATTTAGTATAACTTTCAACTAATCTTAATTTTAAAGTTCTTTGCTGCAAAGTCATTGACCGACTTGTTACAAAATGTACTTCTTCTTTGATTTTGAAGATTTCATAGTTAATCAGTCAGCTATAGATCTATTAGAGACAAAACTGTCAGGTGAAGGATTATACTTCCGTGGTGAGATATCAAATGATGGAAACTCGTTTTTCCGATCATGCAGTGACCAACTTGAAAGATTAGAAATGCCGTCCATGGACCATGCTGAACTAAGACAGAAGATTGCTCAGCAAATGAGAGGAATTCCTACAGTAAGTATTTGTTAAATAATACTGATATGAACCAACAGGTTGTTGAATTAACCAGCTATCTGTATTCCTGTACAGTAATAACGGACTTTATAGAGAAGCAAATTGCTATTTAAGAATTAAAAGCATTCGCAAACATGTTTAGTCTTAGATACATGTTTTTTTGTATTAGTTGTTATTGGCTGTGAACTAGCTGTCAGTAACTGCGAGTACTCTCAGATCTTTACTTTTTTTTGTTGTGGGATGTATAGATACGCTGCCACGTCCATTCTGTGTTTTCGTTAGAAGTTTTCTGCTTTATATCGATCTGATGAGTGAAATTAAGCCCGGTTCAACTGAATTTTATAGTTTGTTCTTATGTTGTACTGTTACACCACTGTCCCAGTTTAGGGGGAGGGTTTGGCACTCCAGCAAACATCTTTAACTCCTCCACATTCTGTATGTGCCTGTCCCAAGTCAGGAGCCTGTAGTTCAATGGTTGTCGTTGGTTCATGTCTAATATTTGTTTTTCGTTAATTAATTTGTTACAAGTTAGGCCGTTAGTTTTCTCAATTGAATTGTTTCATAATTTTCATGTCGGGGTCTTTTATAGCCGACTATACGGTATGGGTTTTTCTCATTGTTGAAGGCCGTTCGTTTGCCTATAATTGCTTTTTTACATCCACTTCATTTGAACTTTGGTGGATAGTTGTCTTATTGTCAATCGTACTACATCTCCTTATTTTTATATTGCCTCCGCCTCTTTCTAAATGTGCCCGTCCCAAGCCAGGAGCCTGAAATTCAGTGGTTGTCGTTTTTTTGCAAAATATTATATTTTGTTTCGTTCATCGTTTCGTACATTAATCAGGCCGTTAGTTTTCTCCTTTGAACCTGATTTGCATTTGTCATTTCGGGGCTTTTTATCGCTTGCTCATTGTTAAAAGTCGTAATGTGACCTTTAAATGCTAACTTCTACGTCATTTCGTCTCCAGTGGAGAGTTGTCTCATTTATAAATTGCGATCATACCACATCTTCTTTTTTATATTTATGAAATAATCGAGCTTTTGTTACTGTGACAATTTCAGTTTTTCCTGCCAACTTTTATATTTTTGAATCTATGTATCCCCAAACGTTGCATTTATCAGGCTCTCCCAAATATACCATATCTTGTGATGGGTAAACCATGCGCTGAAATTGCACTAGGCAAAGATTGACAATTTAATTGGGAAACTTATTATAGTCTTCGAATGAAGATCTTAAAATGGTATACAGACCTAGAATATTTGTATCGCCGCTAATGGCACATACCTAGGATATTTGTATCGCCGCTAACGGTACAGACCTAATATAGTTGTATCGCTGCTAATGATACAGACCTAGGATATTTGTATCGCTGCTAATGGTACAGACCTTGGATATTTGTGTGGCCGCTTATGACATGGCTAACACTTCTTTATGACACTTTCTTGTTTTTTTTTTTATGGAATTGTTATTTATTTTTCGGAAGTGTTTCTGCACTCTTGGAATATGTTTTGTCATCATCACCCCAAATCACTAGTTGAAAATCATTAATATAGATTAAAAGACCGAATATGACCATGAAACATATGATAAATTATCTCTTTGTACAACTACGAATCGCCTGCTTAAAGTTTTTTTTATCGAACTTCATTTTTCGAGATTGCCTTCACACGTAATGCTAACTCTCGAAACCATTGAAACCAGGAGATATATGTTTTGAACCAAAAGATATTATATTCTTTTTATTCTTTTTTTGACTTATGATAAGAAAAAATCATTTTGGCAAAATAAGAAATGTAATTATCCAATTCAATGTAGGTGGCAGCACTCCTTTTAAACAATGTAATCTATTTAAGGCCAAAGTGAGGGATTCCTTGGAATATAATGCAGCTGTGCATTTTTTCAGATACTTATGACTTAAAACTGAAATTCTTATATATATATATATATATATATATATATTGCCAAAACTTAAGCGGTTATTTTCGATATGGAGGACATTCCAATTTAATCCAAAATATTATTTTAAATTTATGTTAAACGTGGTCTTTTATATTCCAATTATCATCTTGGGACGCATTTTAATTAAGTATCTAATAAATAATAAACACAACGAGGCTCCAACAAATACAGGACAATTAGATAAATTAATATAGTAAAATCGTTAAACCGTTAAACCGTCGTTTTTGCAAATTATAATCGCCCATAACTCTGGAATAAAAAAAAAATATGTAAAGAGCTATACAACCCTTATTACATATTTGGTACAACACATTTGGGTTTTGCATATGTAATTATCGCAGATTTACCGTAGTCTTATTTCTGCCCGAGTAAATACACGCCGTAGTATAGTGGCTGAAATGGGCTTTTGATGTAAGTTAAATGGAAGAGCCATTCCAGCTCTCACATGCAAAGTCCATACTGGTCCTCCTCTGTTTTGGAAAGTCATGTAAATTCTAAGACATTAACTATTTCTGAAACCCTGCCGGAAATAAAACTGTTTGAACAGATCAGCGTTTTAGAAAAATTAAGATAAGCCCATCTTTTCTTTTTAAAATGACGTCCTACATTATAAGGTCGTTACAAGAAGCAACACATTTTTGTTGAAAGTCGGAGAGGACCAGATGTTTTTACTGAAATTATGATTGAGGGATAATTGGAGCAAACCAAAATGTAAAAAAAAACAACAAAACAAAAAACAACCAAAAACAACCGGGAACGTCAATTTAAACAAAATGAAAAGCAAAGCAATTCTTTATTGAATTGATTGTTCTATATTTCTCGTTACAAATTCATACGCTAGTACATAGATCATAACATGAAATTTTCAATGTCGGCCATCGTGCCATGTCTCGACCCTTTTTTTGCACAATGGGCTAAAACCGTCGGTCCGATGAGGAAATTTAGCGCTAATCTGAAAAATGTCATGTTATAATCTATAAATATGACTCATGCAACAAACAAATATAGCTCACCGCGTGATATTCAACGACGGCCTTACCGTACACTATTGTGATGTTTTTTTTTCTGATTCTGTATTTAGTATAGAGAGTGTAGTATATTTACAAAATGTATGTGATGAAATATAATCATTTTGTCAAATAGCTCATACTTTGCTTTTGTATATCATTCCAGGATCACATTTATGAAGCACATTTTACAAATGAAGAATGGAAGATATTTCTTAAGAAGATTGCCGAAGACGGAGAACACATTGAAGATATTGTTGTTGAACAAATGGCAATAATATTAAAAAAGAAAATAGTCATATATTCACTTTCATATGCCAATGCAATTAGTAAAAAGTCAATTAATGACGAGGCATCCGGGACTCCTTTATTACTTGGAAAGGAAAAAAGTTATTACACAAGTCTTGAAAGAGGCCAGGGTACTTCGCCTGTCAATCAGGAAAAACAAAATACACCTCAAAGTAAGTTGAATGGTTATCATTATCATTAGTTTGATTTTCTCATTACGATAAAGCTTGCTGTTTTTTTTTTGTCAATTCTTAGCTGGCAACCATAATACAATATATTCTAAGAACTTTTGCGATAAAACATACTTTCATGAAACCTGAAATATCACAGTTTAACAAATAATGAACCTCCATTCAGACTATTGAGCATTCTCAAGAAGAAGAAATGACAATTATTTCATATATTCATATTGAATTTGCTAAAGGCGTTTGGTGTTACATTGGATTATAATATGACGTTCTTCGTTTGGTGTTACATTGGATTATAATATGACGTTCTTCTTTTGCTTTGTAAACAAAGTCATGTTCTTATTCCAATAGAACATGGGTTGCAAGTGATTGACGTCACAATTGAAATTGCAACGTTAGTTGCATTTTAAACAATGCCGGAGATCAAAATATAAATTTATTTTGGTGTATTTTGCTAGGAAATTAAATAAAATCGTTCTTAAAGTAAGAAAATATGTACCTGTTTATTGTTTATCGTCAAACGGTTTATTTTCTATAACATTAATGAATGCTTCGTCAAATCAAAATGGCTGCCTTTTGAACATGTCTTATAGGTCCGCTTTGAAGTACAAATGTTTTAAATATTCATGTAAAAATTGAAATATTTCTATCATGTCATGCTCTATGCTAATTTTAACATGGGTAGGCATTACATTTGTCAACATTTTACTCCTCGCTAACGCTCGGTGTAAAGATATTGACAAATATAATGCCTAACGCTCGGTGTTAAGATATTGACACATATAAAGCCTACCCATATTAAATTGAGCATAGAGCATAGTATGAAAGAATTATTGCATAAATTAATACCTATCCCACTCAACACAACCACAAAAAAGAAACACAAAAATAAAAAACAGCAACGTTTTTTACGTGAAAAAATCCAAACTTTTACAACAGTATGCATGTTATTTCAATATTGCGCACACATCTAAATGATTAAAGTTTACATTGTGTTAAACTAAACAAAAACAAGTGATGAGTATACACATATGAAAGGTCTGTATGGGGTTTACAGAATACAAATATAAAGAATAGAGAAAAAGGGGCACAAAAAAACCTCGGAATAATGGGGTGATAAAATATTAAGAATAGAGAATAATGGGCTAAAATAAAATGATTAGAAAAAAATGGCCTAAAAAATTAAAGTATACAGAAATGAAGGACCCCTTTCCTGACCTTGAATTTGTACGTTTTATTTCATTATGTGGAAATTTGTATGAATTTGAATTCGAGGATGCATTTGTAAATAAAGAAGTCATGATGTACAGTGTGTTATGAGTAAGAATTGTAATAAAATGTTAGATCTATAAGCATTTTGATATACACCTTTTGATCTTGTATAACCCAGAGAGACCAGCGAAAAATGTTTATTTTACTGGCGATGCGCCACCTGAAAAACAACCTAAACAAGAAAAGGCAGCAGACAGGTATGTTTTCATAGAGAGTAAAAAACAGAAAAAACTTTAACTAGGACTTAAGAATTAGTTTATAAACACCCCTAATATCCTTTATATTTATTTTTCTCTGTTTAATTGGACTGAAATTTTAGTGTACATGTTAACGGACACATGGTTAATCATCCAATCACATAGCAAGCCATTTAAAAATAAATAAATGTTAAAAAGTTAAAAATGTTGGTTAACCCCGTTAGTTCTTCTTCCCTTGCACATTTCCCTTTTTTGAAGTTATCGACTTACTAGAGATGAAAACAATATTTCCTGCACCCAAATAATTGTTAATTTTGCAAAACAAAGTCATCTTCTTCAAATATCATATGATTACAAGCCTTGTGTAGCTAGAAATCGTATCAGTTTCAATAGAACAACTAACAAATCATTCAACCACAGATTAATGAAATAGATGGACAAAAAGATACTTAGTGCAGTCAAATACTCTAAAAATGTCGAAGTTCTAGGACATTAAAGTTGTCATGGTCCAATCCTGTTTGCAGGTTTTTTTTGGCATTCATCTTATTCTACACATCTTCCTTATTTTATGCTTTCTCGATTTTATCTTATTTGAAAAATTAGCGACAATAAATCCATTACAAAATTTTCCACTTTACAACTTACAGTATTTGTTTATAAATGGTTTGTTTTAATGAAACAAAACATCTATCACGGAAGCTAGGAAAACAATTGACTTGCTTTCACTATTTTCTAATGTATCTTGTTTTTGTTTTAAACATAGTTGATTATGTAAAAAAGTTGTGGTCACACAATATATCCACAGGAAGCCGAATGTGTCATTTGGTGGAGATGTAAAACCAGACAAGGACTCTGACAAATCTGCCATGTTTTCAGGCAAACCTATTAAAACCTCTACACCAGTGAAGATTCAGCAAGAGGGACCATCAACTGAAGGAATGCCAACTAATACAAACACAAAACAAGTCACTAAACCAATAAAGAAAATAACAAAGGATGAAAAGTTATTGATCCTACGCTGTTACCATGCATTAGAGGTGAAAGACTGGGATAAACTGACTGAAATGGTGTACAGTAAAAGACAAGAAAAACTGTCACGTGAAATAGTTCATCATTATGAACAAAATTTAGATCTGAAAACAACACTGAAGAACAGAATAAAAGACTACATATTGAGAGTAAAAAAAGACAAAGGAGAACACGAGAAGGATCCAGGAGTAAAGGCTCTAATACAGCTGATTTGATTGCTCACTTATAAAATTACTTACACATTAAATATGCATTAAATACGCCATATGTGTGCATATACACGCACAATCTTCCGAAACATTATATCCTGATGAATTTTCCGTACGATGTTTAGTTTCATTATTGTTTTCATTTCATTGATGTGCACTATATTGCATTTTTATAGAACTCCTGATTTCGTCAAGTTTAATAGTTAAGTTCAGTGTATTTTTTAACATTGTTTTGTTTTATTATATGATTCATAGTTTCAATTAGTCATGAAAGTTCATTTAATTGCTCGCATTTTTTGTAATTTTATATGATTCATGTTTGTCAAGTCATCATTCTAGTTTAGTTCATTGTTTCAAATTTTGTAACTTTATATAATTCATGTTTGCCATTTTAGTTTAATTGATTAGTTCCCATTGTTTCATTTTTTGATATCATTCATGTTTGTTAGTTCGTTATTCAAGATCAACCCACTTCTTCACATTGCTGTGTATGGTTATATAATTCTTAATATCGATATGTAACACACAACATATTTAATAAAGACAGTGTTTTTTAGTTTGTTCTTATGTTGTGCTGTTACACCACGTCCCGGGTTAGGGAGAGGGTTCAGAGCTCACAAACATGTTTAGCCCCGTCACATTCTTTATGTGCCTGTCCCAAGTCAGGAACCTGTAGTTCAATGGTTGTCGTTGGTTCATGTCTAATATTTGTTTTTCGATAATTGTTTTGTTATAAATTAGGTTGTTAGTTTTCTCGATTGAATTGTTTCATATTTTTCATGTCGGGGCCTTTTTTAGCCGACTTTACGGTATGGGTTTTTCTCATTGTTGAAGGCCGTACGGTTGCCTATAATTGCTTACATCCACTTTATTTGAACTTTGGTGGATAGTTGTCTCATTGTCAATCAATCAAATATGATCTCTTTATGTTTACAATGATAGTACTAAGTAAATATAGATTTTTGATACATATAAATGATGAAAACATTGGAAGTACACCAAAATACAGTACATGTATAATACACATATAAAAGATATACAAGCCGTAGGGCCCGAAGAGAACCACAGACCTTTGGCAGGATAACTGACAATCCTAGTCATTAAGATTTGAGTCGAAAGCACATGCCACGAAATCACACTTAGACCACTCGGCCACCGATACCGCCATATTAAATTGAAAATTCGATACAAATCAATGTAAAGATTCGGGTACATTATGTTAATCCATTAAAAAAAATCATCGAGAAAACTTACATACTCTTTCTAAATAGATTAAAAAAAAGAGAGCAAATATCAAGAGTCAACGAAAAAGCCCAAAAGGACCATGGCCATAGCGACAACTGCATTAAACAACACGAACCCCACCTAAAAGGTGGGTAGCCATTGAGAACATAACCAAATAAATGACACCTCAAACAAAATATTTGCTCAAAAACCCAGTTGTTCGATGTGAAACAACAGTAGTTTACCGATGTTTAAAAGTTATTAAAAGTAAAATAACAAAAATTCCGAACTCAAAGGAAAATTCCAAATTGAAAGTCCCATATTAAATGGCAAAATCAAAAGCTCAAACACATCAGACGAATGGAAAACAACTGTCATATTCCTGACTTGGTACAGACATTTCCTTATGTAGAAAATGGTGAATTAAACCTGGTTTTATAGCTAGCTAAACCTTTCACTTGTATGACAGTCGCATAAAATTTCACTATATTTATAACAATGTGTGAACAAAACAAACAGACATATAATAGGTAAAAATGTCAAAAATTGGGATACAGAAATTAGCATTGTGTTATAATCTTAATCACTATAAAAACAAACAACTATGTCAACAAGAAAAAAAGAAAATGGCATATAGACACTCTATAGACAAAGCACATAAGCAAAAACGAAAGACAAGAATACAACAAATGACTATAGCAGAATAGCGTGACAATGGCGGGATGTATAAATACCGAGCCACGCCAAAAGGATATTACCAAAAATGGACTAAACAGTAAAGATTAACAATATACAAAGACAAATAAAAAGAACACTATAACACGTAATTAAGATGATAAACAACGTCAGTACCTATACTTCAACACCATCATGTATTTTTGTGAAGCTGATACGGAATATTTATCAACAAGGTCTTTGTATCTTCCAATGAAATCGTTTAGAAAATGGATGAGACGTTCTTTGACATAACCCTGGTTCATCAACTTTCTGCTCAGACACTGCTTTTTGCATATACGGACCTAAATCGAACAAAGTGGTAATTGCATAACCGCCGTGAATATGAGACCTAAACGTCGTTTTTATGTATACACCACGTTTTGAAACTTACTTGACAATAGCAATGAATATTGTGAAAATTGGTTTAAAAACCCAATATATACCACAACGTTATCAATATTAATATTAAGAAAAAGCAAACAATCATATTAATTTTTGTAATGAAAACATATTAAAAAAGTGGAATTAAACCATTTTTGGAGTTTAAAAAATTCTTTGGATGTTTCAGATAAATTACGTGTTTTTGATGGTCCTTTTGATTCGGTTGACAGTTTTGACTTTTTCACTATTTATACTACACTTCTAAACAGTCTTATCAAACAACAGTTATCCTTTTTAATTAATTTGTCGTTTGAAAAATCTGATTGCAAATTTATTTGATGCAATTCATATTAAAGCTTTTTTTCAAATTAGAAGGGTAAATATGCTAGATATATTTACTGGAGGTGTGATGATATGATTAAATCCTTAAATGTTCTCCTTGACAACATTTATGTACGTTTCGGCAATAAAGTTTAGCGACAGGTTGTAGTTATACCTATGGGCAGAATAAGTTCCCCTTTAATAGTAGACTTGTTCCTGTACTGTTATGAATCACAGTTTATGACCAAACTCAGTAAAGACCCGTCTAAATTCCATTTAATTGATATATTCAACAGTTACCGTTATCTTGTGGACATTTTTGCGTTAAAAAATCAAGAATTCCCGAAATACACTGCCGAAATTTACCCAAAGGAACTTACTTTAAATAAATCAAAGATTAACAGCAATAACTGTCATTTCCTAGATTTAGATATTTCAGTTTTACACCAGAAACTCTACACAAAAAATTACGACAAAAGGGATGATTTTGCTTTCTCTCTTGTTAATTTTCCTTTTTTGTACGGTGATGTTCCTCTGGCATCGTCTTACGGTGTTTATATATCTCCTTTCGTTCGATATGCCCGTATATGTATTGGATTTCAATGAAAGTGATCTATATATTACTGTATATTATTAAGTCTGGAATTTCGTTACCCCTAATTACTTAAAACCTTTACTATAGACTATCAGTCCCCGAGGGTTTCACCAGCTCAGTAGTCAGTACTTCGGTACTGACATGATTTATAACAAACCTTTCTAAAATTGTCCGTTTATAAATTTTGAAATTATAAAGAAACTAAGGTGTCAACTTCCTCAGGCAAAGGTGACCTAAGATGAATTTTGCTACTTTTTTATGTACTTTTTGGTCATATAGCTCTTTACCTGTTTCGGTTCTTATACATCCTTGGCTTTCGAATATTTGGTTTTAAGCGTTCCCGATGAAGGTAAATCCAGAAAAGCGCTTCGGGTGCATGACATTAATAAAGTGTTGTTTTCATTTTTTACAGCACTGGGTCGATACCTCTGCTGGTGAACTATCAGTCCCTGAGGGTATTATGAGCTCAGTAGTCAGCACTTCGGTACTGACATGATTTAAAACTAACCTTTCTAAAACTTTCCGTTTATAAATTTTGAAATTATAAAGAAACTAAGGTTTAAACTCCCTCAGGCAAAGTTGACCTTAGACGAGTTTGGCTATTTTTAGGTACTTTTTGGTCATATAGCTCTTTATCTGTTTCGGTTCTTATAATCCTTGGCTTTCGAATATTTGGCTTTAAGCGTTCCCGATGAAGGTAAATCCAGAACAGCGCTTCGGGTGCATGAAAATAATAACGTGTTGTTTTCAATTTTTACTAAATTCTTCCATAGATACAAAGATTTTGTTTGCAAGTTTTGATGTACCTGTAGAAAACTTAATTCAAATGGAATAGCACATCCTAAATTATACGGTGATTTTGTTTACCGAGCCCGGAAACTTATATACGATCCGGGTAAACTTATCAATCCTTTAAAAAAACTTATTCTAAAAGGTTACCAATTCAACACTGTAATTAGATCTTCGGATATTGTTTTTGTTATCAGTAAATTAAAACCACAGTAAATATATTTGTTATACACAATGTATGCACTTTCACGGTACTACAATCTGTCGATACCTAAATGTTGGCATTGCACAAGTCATGTTTTTCTCTGACTGTTAATGACTTCTTTACACTAAATCCATAGGATGTTAAATGTGTACTTATTGATATTTTAGTCTTATGTTATGAGATTGTAACTATTAAAATCATTTACCTTGGCCTGTTTTGTTTTGTGTGGCCTTATAAGATGTTTACATAGTTGTTTACAAAATAATGTTATAATTGTGCAGTTTAGAACAATCGTAGATACTGATTGAATGATTAGAACTTTTCTATTTGACTTGCATAATAATTCCAGAATGATCATCATCTACGATTCGTAATCTAAACTTCTACAATGTTCTAGAAGTTTCCCATCTACATTGTTCTAGAAGTTTCCGTGACAACTATATATACAGACACTGAAATTAGACTGATCAGACATTAATATACTTGTAGTCTAAAAAATTGTCTGGAGTAGTTGGATTGACACTTTTATTTTTATAAATTAACTGTTTGCAAAAGTATGAATTATTCGAAATACTAAGGATTTTCTTATCCCAGGCATAGATTACCTTAGCCGTATTTGGAACAACTTTTTGGAATTTTGGGTCCTCAATGCTCTTCAACTTTATACTTGTTTGGCTTTATTACTATTTTGATCTGAGCGTCACTGATGAGTCTTATTTAGACGAAACGCGCGTCTGGCGTATTAAATTATAAGCCTGGCACCTTTGATAATTATTATTTACGAACGACATCTTACTAGATTTAGAACTTATTGGACATATATATTTCATTGGATTCGATTACAGGTAAGCAAAGAATTCAGGATAAAGAAAAGACTAGGATTGGACATTCAGATATTTTAACAGTTAAGTTGACATTTCAATTTGTATAATATTTCTTGTGAAATTGTATAATAAATCTTGTTAAATTGATCATTGATTTTTCTCTCTTTTTGGCTATAATTTAAAGGTGATTTCTGGCCGTAACACTTAGATACATGACTTTTTTTATTAGTTATTATTGCCTATAACTAGCTGTCAGTATCTGTGAGTACTCTCAGAGCTGTGTCTTTTTTGTTGGAAGGGATGTATAAATACCCTGCCACGCCCGGTCTGTGTTTTTGTAAGATGTGTTTCTGCTTTGTATCGATCTGATGAGTAAAGCCCTTTTCAACTGATTTTTATAGTTTGTACTTATGTTTTGCTGTAACACCACTGTCCCTTGTTATGGGCAGGGTTGAGCGCTCACAAACTTGTTGAGCCCTCCATATTTTTAATATGCCTGT